TTTTAACATGCATTTTACCCGAGGAATGTGAATGGAAGGCATAAAGGCGGGAGGGGCTTCAGCTTAGAAAAAAAGAGAGCCACACTAAATAGAAAGTTGTGGAGAGCCATAATCGCCTATGTTAGATTATTTTCTAGAAAAGCTTGTATCTGCTCAGTTTCGTATCCGCAACGTGAACAAATCAATTTATAAAGACTTAATGGATTTAATTTTAATATGACATTTTTTTTTACTTCAGATTTGAAATATATAACAAACTTTTATTTTATTTTAATTTGTCTCGAATGCACAGCCTGATAAACGTAATATATAATTGTCTAAAAACAAAGCGTCTATTTCAAATACGAGTATCCCATCTAATAACGTTTGAAGTAATAAAAGTGTTGTCTATATTTCTGAGATGTGGTATTGTAACTATGTACACAATTTACATCATTCGGACCTTTGTCCTCATCTTTATTGGCATATTCAGAACGTTTCGGCCGTTGTACGCTCCGACCTTCTCCAGGTAATATACATTAGAATTTTGAACCGAACCTTTTATTTAGCCCACGGGGGTATATTGTTCTAATTCCACGTGGCATGTGAAGACATTGGATATCTCATCATCAGTTAATTCCCTTTAGCAACTCAATTCTCTTAGTTTTTGTTCCATGTGCTGTGGCCAGTGGATAAAAGCGTTGTTTGAGCAATCCCAAAATATGACTTGACCCAAAAATGTTGTGAGTTCAAAAGCTGGTCACAGAAGAGGGAACAAAAACTTGGAGAGTTGAATGTAAATAATAAAACTTTGATTAAAATAAGTCCATTGTATATATATATATATATATATATATATATATATATATTTAAAATATATAACATAAATATGTATAAATTTACTACAAAATAATATTTTTGTTTCAACATCTCTGGTGCCTTATCAAGTGATGATGTTGAAACATCATCACTTGATAAGACACCAGAGGTGTTGAAACAAAATAGCTATTTTTGTAGTAATTTTATAACATATTTATGTTATAATTTTTAAATAAATAATTATATTCGCTCTACTCTGTATTGAGCACACTTTAAGAATAGTAATTGTTGGTGATTGAATTTATTCCGAATACAGAATCATACCAATCATACATATATATATATATATATATATATATATATATATATATATATATATATATATAATTACCTTTTCTCTTTGGCGGAGGTATGTTAGTAATCAAATTTAGGTTGGGCAAGAAGGCATATAGTCCCTCCCATATTGAAAGATTGGCGGAAACCAATCCCTGCAAAAACAATATATTCGTGTGTTTGAAAATTATTCATATGTTTATCTATCTTTTTTTATTTCTTTATGCTGTGTCTTTTTTTTTCTAAATCTGGCTCACGGCTAAAATGAACAGAGAGTTGGAAGAAAATTTTTATATTATTTGTAATAAATAATAAAACATTCCCAATTTATTTTTTCAATTCAGAGATTTCCTTTTTTCTCTTTATATGGCTTTTTTGTTTGGTACCTTTTCTAGACATTCTTAAGAGCTACTAAACTTTGTTTTGTCTGGTACAAGGCTAAATGTTTGGGAAGAGAGAAAAGTTTTCCTTCATTTTTATATTTTTTTATTCGAGATTTTATTTCTTTTCCTTCATTGTTTCCTTTTTTTCTTTATTCGTATTACTTTTGGTTGGGTACCTTTCTTTCAGTATTTTTTTTTTTTTTTTTTGACAGGCTAAACGTGTCTTTGTCTGGCTCAAGGCCAAATGTATGAGGATGTAGAGGAAGATATTTAATTCTTTTTCCTTCATTATTCCTAATATTCTTTCTTTCATTATTTTTTATTTATCACTTTTTTGTTTGGTACGTTTTTCTCAATATTATTCAGAGTTAGTAAATCTAGTTTCATCTGGCACAACGCTAAATGTTTTGGGAGGTAAAGGAAGACATTTTATTTTTATTCTTTCTTCAAGATTTTTTTTTCTTTTGTTTGGTACGTTTTTCTTAACATTCATTTTCACTGTTCTTTTTTTCCTTCTTTCATTTATTTTTATTTCTTCAGTTTTCTAATTTTCGTTCTTTTTCTTTTCTTTCTTCATGTCTTTTTAAAAAGTTTTCTGCCTATTCGTAACATTTACAAAGCTTTTGAGAGACCCTAAGCGAAATTCGAGGAAGCAAACGAGAAGATTATGTTGCGCAGTGGGGAGTGTCCGCGGGCTTTGAAAATCAACCTCCCAAATGCTCATTTTTTCATTTGGCTGTAATGAATGGGCAGCTCTGTGTCTTGAGCGCCTATTGGGTCTTAAACGCAACCCAGACCTAAATTTTAACAAGATAGGATCCATCGTTAAAGTTGTTGTAAAAATGGTTGCTTCCAAGAACTTCTTCAGTAAGTACCTGACACCTCCTGATAACCTCTACCTTTACAAGAGCTACATCAGGTCGAAAAAAGGAGTATTGCTGCCATATATGGGTCGGAGCTGCACAGTCTTTATTTTCTAATCTTCATAGCCCAAATTCGTCTCTTGATCCTTGTGGGTGATGAATTATTTACCACTACAACTCTTTTACTACAAATGAAACGTTGCATGTCTCTTGCTACTTTATCGCTATTCTCATGAAAAGTGCTCAGACGAACTACATTCCTTAGTTCTAAACTTCGCGGCTAAGACACGCCATGCCACACACATTATAGCGGACCACCCTAATTCCGCTTGTATTCCATTGGTGAGATGTAAGTTCCACTCGAACTACCTCTTCCCACAATCTCCTACTTTGTGGAACCAACTCCCAAGAGGTTGCTTCCCTGATCACTTACTCTTACTCTTAACCTGTTCAAGTATTGGGCTAACTGTTATCTTCCCCATATATCATCATAAACTGTACCTCTTACACTGTAACCCTCTACCTTGAGTTGCTCTTGAGACTTGTACAGGATGAACATTATTGTAAAAAATAATAATTCTTCTACAAGACTGCATTTATACGTGCGCACACTCGAACTGAATATGGCACAAGGCCGTAGTTAAAGTGAGTATAACATATAAGTTGGATTAGTAACAGTTTCCTACGTATTTAGTAAAAAGTCCTTATGCACCTCCCGATTTAGGCATTTCAGGCATCAGACCTTGAACCTGATCTCCTCCATTTTTAGTCCAAGGGAAAAGACGCAGTCTAGGGGAAGGGACAGTCACTCTAGCCACTTTCTTTTGATTTCTCTTACTTCCAGATTCTTTCTTTTCTTTTCTTTTCTTTTCTTTTCTTTCTTTCTTTCTTTCTTTCTTTCTTTCCGGTTGTTCTTTATTCTGATAACCTTATTTTCTTTTACAATTCTCTTCATATTCTTCATTCACGTTTACTAAATGTTTTCTTTCTTTCTTTCTTTCTTTCTTTCTTTCTTTCTTTCTTTCTTTCTTTCTTTCTTTCTTTCTTTAACCTTATTTTTCTTACAATTCTCTTAATATTCTTTATTCAACTTTACTAAAAAATTTTCTTCCAATTTCTTTCTTTCCCTTTTTTTTCTTTATTCCTATAACCTACTTATTTTTCTTTCAATTTTTTCATTTCAAAGTTTTTTTTTTCTTTTTTTCTTTATTCCTATAACTTTCTTATTTGATACAAGACAGGCTGATCAAGTAAGGTAGATCACCAAAGAAAGCGATCAACTATTTCAGTTTGTTTTTTTTTTCGAAGGGATACTGAAAAGTTATTGTTTCGACCAAGATGAAATTCCCTCAAATTCTCATGTTTGGGCATTTGGTTCGATTTTGAAAGTGGGGCGGACCGAGAACTTTTTAGCTCCACCTCGTGGATTGGTGATTAGCCAAGAACAACAGTTACTAAAACAAAAGTCCTGTGTGAAGAACCAAGCAAAACGTAATACCAATTATTTTCTGTTAATTTTGAATATTTATATCTTTTTTGTACTTCCTCAAAAGTAAGTTTTTAGCGTTGTATGAAAAAAGAAAAAAAGAAATTTGAGAAACTATTTTTTCTTTTAGTTTTAGTTTTTATTTCCTTTTTGTTTATTCATGGTTTTCTAAAGATTTTTCAGTCTTTATTTGTTACTTATTCAAGATCTTCTTTCTTCCATCTTTTTTTTCTTAATTTGTATCACTTTTTTTTATTTGTTACTACTCTCTCAATATTCTACATTCACCTTTAATAAAACGTTTTCCTTTCAATTTCTTTCTTTCAATTTCTTTCACTTCCAGGTCTTTTTCTTTCTTTAATTCCGCTATTTTTATCTTTATTCCTATCACTTTCTTTTTTCTATTTCTTTCATTTCAAGGTTATTTCTGTCGTCCTTTCTTTCTTTATTCCTATAACTTTCTTATTTGATACGTTTATCTCAATATTCACAATTCTCTCAATAGTCAACGTTCACCTTTACCACAATATTTTCTTTCAATTTCTTTCATTTCAAGCTTCATTTTTTTTCTCTCTTTATTCACATCACTTTATTATTATAACGCTATTTTCAATATTCACAATTCTCTCAATATTTTAAATTCATCTTTACTAAAACTTTTTTCTTTCAATTTCTTTCACTTCAGGTTTCTTTCTTTATTCATATCACTTTCTTGGGTGAACGATTTCCTTAATATTCACAATTCTCTTAACATTCTGCATTCACCTTTACTAAAATTTTTCATTCAATTTCTTTCTTTTGATTTCTTTTTTCCGTTTATTTTCTTTATTCCTATAATCTTCTTATTTTTCTTTCAATTTCTTTCATTTCAAAGTTTTCTTTTTTTTTCTTTATTCCTATAACTTTCTTATTTAGTACATTTTTTTCAATATTCACAATTCTCTACATTCATGTTCTACATTCATCTTTACTAAAACTTTTTCCTTTCAATTTCTTTCTTTTAATTTCTTTCACTCCCAGATTCTTTCTTTCTTTCTTTCTTTCTTTCTTTCTGTTGGGAACAATCATTTTCTGTATGTTCACGAAATAGAAGCACGCAAGAACTTCCTAGTCTACACCCTGGACATCATGATCTTCTTAATGGAAGAAAGCACAAACGAAACAACAAAAAGTCAACGAAGAAATAGAAGAAGAATGAATTACAAAAAAAGTCAGACTAAAAGGAAATATAAAAGAAAGAAAAAAAATGCTTTGTTCACAAGAAATGATGCAGAAGGAAAAAGACTTTTAAAAAAAACGTCCCAAAAAAGAAGAATCAAAAAATGGAAAGAAATTCCCAGAGAAAAGGAAACAAAAAAAAAAAAAAAAAAAAAAAAAAAAAAAACAGAAATTAAAAGACTGGAATAAAAAGAATGAGAAATATCAAGAGAAAATTCTTGTAGTTTGAATGAAGCTGCATGGTGGCTAAAATAGTTGCGTATTCCCTAACAAAACCAGTGGTCGATTTTCGATCCCAGACTAAAGGCAGGATTGCGAGTATTAGCTTTTAAGATAGGCAGGCTAGTCACTGTGACAAAACTGACAGAAAACTATTTTCCCAGTACATTTGTTTTAAAGCCGGATGAAACTAATTTCAGTTCTTCTTCTTCTATGTGACATGTTCCTTCGGGAAGTTAGCGATCATAGCTCTCCACAATTTCTTGTCCTTTGCAGCTATTGATACATTTCGTCTTTTTGTTATCTCTCCTAATCCTTGTTCCGTCAGCCATTTACTTAAACCCGCCAGACAGATCATGTTTTGGTAACTTATTTCCTTCTTACCTTAATTCTTGTGAATATCGAAATTTCCGAGTGCTCTTTCCTTATTATATGCCCTAGAAACTTCAAGTGTCTCTTCCTGGTGTTAAATATAAATATCTTTTTCTGTTTCCGTTTTTTCTAAAAACTTCTTCGCTGCTCAGATATTCGGTTCATGGTATTCTCAGCATCCTTCTGTAAAACCACATTTCTATCGCTTTAGGCCTCTTCTTCATCTGTGTGACGATTGTACAGCATTCACTGCTATATAGGAGAACTGATATTACATGACAGTTGAGAACTCTTTTCCTTGTTTCTTAGCTTTTGGAAGCCATCTTTCGCTATCCCAATCTCTCTTCGGAGTCACACTTTTAATATCTGTAGGAAATTTGAAAGCTGACAGCTTTGAAAATATTCAGCCCAATAATCATAATAGTAACAAATATGAAAAATATTTACTTCTTCTAATCGCCTTAACCCTTCAGGACGTGGGCGATCATGGCTCTCCACAATTTCTTATTCTTTGTAGTTCTTAGCAATGTTTGTCTTTGTTCTGTCTTTCCCACTCCCTGTTCTGCGATCTTGTTTGGTAGATTACTTGCTGTTTTCCTTTTGTCTCACTGGTTTTTAATATGCCCTGTGAGTGTCAAATCTTCCTAGTCTCTCTCCTCATTATGTGTCCTAGAAAGTATCTGTCTATATTTCTGAGATGAGTTATTATGTCCACTGTTTACATTATTCGGACTATTGTTCTTATCTTGTGATAAATATGGGAACAAAAATGAGGACAATAATTTGAATAATGTAAATAGTGTCCTAGAAAGGTCTCTTTAAGTATAAGTGACCTTTCCGTTTCGATTTTCATTAAAACTTCTTTGTTACTCACTTAAAATGCTCTGTCCATGATATTCGTGGCGTTTCTTGGTAGAACCAGATCTCTGTTGCTTGAAGTCTTCTCTTCATCTCTGAAGAAAATATCCAGTATTTACTTGTAATGTAAAAACTGACATTACATAGCAGTTCAGAACTCTTTTTTTTTTCTTTCTAATGAATCTTTGCTGATTTTTTTTTTAATACCGTGTTTAGTCTCTGGAAAACGTCTTTTGCTATTCTAACGTACCTTCGGATTTCAGTGTCACGTTTTCCGTTGTCTATAAAAATACTTTACCGGTATTTAAACATCTGAACTTACTTTTCCTTATATCCATAATGCATAGTTAGCATCTTGTTTTTTTCTCTAACTGAAAACCATGGATTCTGTCTTCTTACAATTGGTGATTAGTCCTTTCTTCCCGCTTTCCTTTACTATCTTTTCAATGAGATTTTTAGCTGTCTTTCTGTGTCTGCTATCAAGACAATGTCATATGTAGTTTAAACTGTACCCACCGAAAATAAATCCTGATAGGATCTCTAAATCCCTTGGGATATCCTTGAGGTTGAATAAATCCGGTCAGAATGCACACCCCGTTTTCATCTGTAATGAGATTATCAAGCATTCGCCGCCATATTGGCGCAATGATATTACATGGCAGTTGAAATAATAATTCAGTGATAATAAATCCAGATCCATATTGACACAATCTTGAATGAAAAAAAAAGGAGAAAAAATCGAGTGAATGATGTTTGTAAAGAAAGAAAATCAGAGAATGAAAATAAGAAAAACATATGAATGTAGATGATCAGAAGGCTGAAGTTAAAAAAATTAACCACCCAACACCCACCCACCCCCAAAAAATGAGAAAAAATAGAAAAGCTGATTGGAATAAAAAGAAGAACGTAAGTATGGAAGGTGATAGAAATGAAAACGAGAAAGAAAGTATGGAAGGTGACAGAAATGTAAACGAGAAGATAATTTAGGAAAGGTGATAGAAAGAATAATGAGAAAGAAAGTATGGAAGGTGATAAAAATGAATACGAGAAAGAAAGTATGGAAATTGATAGAAATAAAAACGGGAAAGAAATTATGGAAGGTGATAGAAATGGAAAGGAGAAAGAAAGTTTGGAAGTTGATAGAAACGAAAATGAAAAATACTGAGTATGATTGTGGGAGTGTCCGAGTATATAATGTATCACAATAATTCAAAGAAATATTTTTTATCTACCCTTATATTAACACATGCAGTATTCCTGATATAGAGCACTTTTAACCATAAATATAGCATACCGTAAAACTATATTTTATCTATAACTATAACTATAATATATATATATATATATATATATATATATATATAAATATATATTATATATATAAAATATGTTTTTTTTTTTTAATATATTATGCTCTGTAAATTTACATTGAGCACTATTTTGTAAAAAATAAAAATATTCATAAGAACACTGGATTATATATCTTACTGTTCTTTCTTTTTTTATTATATATATATATATATATATATATATATATATATATATATATATATATATATATATATATATATGGATTGCTGAACTCCATGAATCCCAAAAGCAAAATCTGAACAGACATGAGAATTTTTAAAATCGCTTTTCTGGCCGGATCAAGAATTTTTCATTACTTTGCACACACACACACACACACACACGTACGCACATCACACTCGCCCACACGCACGCACGCACACACACACACACACATATATATATATACTGACATGTGCAATAACCCCCCCCACACACACACACATATGCATCTGTATATCGTTTAATGTTTGTTATATTAATTGGGAATGATTGCTCAATGTCTAAAGTAGCGCATTTATAAATATAAACACGTCTTAAGCGGTCATCATATTTTGTGTAACCCTCATTGTTTAGGCCACGGGGAGCTTTTGAAAAATGGCGGAATGCAGTTTTTTGTCAGGGATATATATCTTTTATTTATTGTTCTGAATTTAAATTTCTTTAATTTTATTGAAAAATAAATGTATTTATTTTTATTTAATTTCACTATACTCAACATTTATTTTCTTTACTTATTATTTTCTTTTTGCCAACTTTCTTCGGTTCTAAAGTTTGATGTCCGACATAAAGTGTTCTTTTGCCTCCATTTTTCCTTAAAACCTCCTCGTTGCTTGTTTACATGGTATTCTCAACATCCTTCTTTAGAACCATCGTCCTGGGTATGACCATAAACTACATCCGCGTTCTGGGTAAGACGATAAACTTCGTCCAGCAGCAAGGCCTATGATTAGGAGGTTTTGAGGAGCGTGAAACCACCTCTTAATTGCTGGTGTTCCCAGTTCCACCCTGACCCGGGGTGGTAGCACCTGTTTGGGTTACAGCTATGGGCAAATAAGTAACACCCAAGCCTGTGTAAAAATAGGTTTTAATACCAGAAATACTTTGTAATAAAAAAAAAAAATTATTAGCAGCAATAATTTTTTAAGGGAAAATTATTATCAGCAATAATTTTTAAAAAAAATATTATCAGCAATACTTTTAAAAAATACCAGCAATACAAAAACAGCTTTGAAAAAAATATGATCAGCTATAGATTTCTTCAAGGAAAAATATTTCCAACAATAGATTTTTGAAGAAAAAATATATTACCAGCAATAAAAATTAATAACCTATTGAGGTTGATATGCAGTAAAACAAACCAAACCAAACCGCTATGAATATAAATCAAAATTTTGTTGGCATTAAATGACCCACTGAGGTGTTGATATGCCATAAGACAAAACAAACAAACAACCAAAATCTGTAGAACCATGTTTGTTTTACCTCAAGTTTTCCCCCTCATCTGGGAGAAAATTATCCAGTATATATGTCATATAAGGTTAATATTACATTGCTGTCAAGCAGTCTTTCGTCCTGGGTATGACGATAAACCAAATCCGGCAGTAAGATACAACTTACTGTTACATCTCGTCTTTCTCCTCAATTGATTGCTGTCGAAGACAAGAGATCCCAGTTCAATCTAGTAGTTAACACATATCTGGAGAGAGAAGAGGTGGATTTATTCTTTCACAAGGACTGGGCAGAAATTTGAACTCTACTCGTTGGTTCCATGATCCGAGCCAATAATCGTTATATTACTCGCTACTAATTATACCACTACTACTGCAACTACTAATAATGCTACTACTACTGCTGCTACTACTACTATTAATGATCGTCCTGGGTATGACAATAAACTACAGCAGCAAGGCTTCTAATCGGGAGGTTTTGAGGCGCGTGAAACCACCTCTTAATTGCTGTTGTTCCCAGTTCTATCTTGTCCTGGAGTGGTAGCACCTGTTAGGGTCCCCGCTATGGGCAAGAGGTTAACCAACAAATTAGGATCAAAACATTATGAAATAATAAAAATACATTTTTATAGTAAACATACCAGCAATACATTTTTGAAAAAAAAACAGCAATACATTTGACTCTCGACAAAAACCCTCTTTACAAAAATACGTCATTGAAAACTGATCTATAAAGTGAACCTAGCCTACATATCTCGTCGGTATTAAATAACCAACTGCGCTGTTGATATGCCGTAAAACAAAATAAACTAAACAAAGTTCGCTTTTCTTTGTTTCCCATTTCTTTTTACTCCGTTTAGTTTTTGGAAGGTATCTTTCATTATTTGAATGCATGTTCGTATTCCATACTCTGTTAGAATCGTAAGAAAATATTAAGTTCTGTAAAATGAAGGTAAGTCGAAAAAGAAATGAGTATATAAAAAAGAAACAGAAGAAAAGAATTTTAAACATGGCTGAAGATAGAATAAATATGTAAAAGTCGTAAAAAAAAAAAAATAACGGGAAAATAAACAAAACGAGAAAGGGTAAAAAAGAAAGAAATGCTTGTGAAAGAGAAAGAATGAAAAAAAAAAGAACATTAACATTAGAAGGTTAAATGATTACGCAGTGTTAATGAATGAACGAAGGAAAAAATAAAAGGATTTTAAAAGAAAGAAAAAATAGGAACAGGAAAATTGGAATAAGAAAAGGAAAAAGAGCATTGAATGAAAAATAAAAGCTTTCATAAAGAAAGAAAGAAAAAAGAAAGAAAGAATGAAAGTAGAGGAAGAAAACTCTGAGAAAATGAAGAAATAACGGAAGAATGAAATCCTTGATTACTTTTACATTGAAGGGTGAACAACTAAAGGAATGCAAATGAATAAATAATATATATATATATATATATATATATATATATATATATATATATATAAATGGATGAAGAAGAAAATGAAGGAGAAAAAAAATTGTGTGAAAAAGGAAATGAAAAGAAGCCTAGAAAGATGAAATAGCAGACATGATCTCCGTGAAACGCGATCCCAAAATGAAAAGGAAATGGGGAAAAGCAAAAAAAAAAAAATGTACATAACAAACTATAAATAAGAAATATATGTAAAAAAAGAAAAAGAAAAAAGAGGGGGGGGAAAGTCACGAATTGATGGCAAAGTCTACACTAAAAACCCCATTGAAATCGACAATTGAGAAGATATAATTCGTAACTCGACGATCTCTCCATTTTCTGCTGCTGCTGCAAAAAAAAAAATAAGTATAACGATCACAGTTTTTGACAATGTCTTTTATCTCTCATCATCTTTCCTGCATTCTCTTTTGCCTTCCCTCCTTCGTTCATTTAAGATCATTCTCCCCAATTCTCCAAATGATACGAACGACTTCATCACTTTTGTCCGCCTCCAAGGCAAGTAAGAACGATAGCTTGGGGCCATAAGCGGCTTTAGCGTAGCTCCACCGCGTGCTTTCAGGTAATTCAAACAGAAAGCCTCGATTATGTTTGGGTGCCAATTCGCTCTCCTGATTGAACAAATCGTGACACAATAGAGTCTTGCTCCCCGTGAAGAATCGAATAAAGAATTGCTCTCTGCTGCTAAAGCGACGATACGGACAAATCACCTTCGAATGCCCGCTTTCGTAATTTTTATCATTTAATATTATATCATCAGGTAGAATAGTGTTTTCATTTAACTCCTACTTAACAAGAGAAGAAGGAAAGGCCCTTAAGAAACGCTTTCTATGTAATACATTCTTTTATTCTGGATATAGGCGAATATGGCTCTCTTTAACTCCCATTTCTTTAATATCTGTCAATTCCTATGACTTCTTGGGAAAGATAGTAGAATGGTTTTCTGTTACCATCTTCAAAGATAACTTTACTTTAATATCCGTGAACTGCAATGACTCCTTGGAAAAATAGTGGAATGGTTTCTCATTGTATTTTCCACAAATGTATTTGCTTTAATATCTGTGAACAACCATGATTTCTTGTGAAAATAGCGGAGTGGTTTCCCATTAGATTTCCCACAATCCCCATTATTTTAATAATTGTGAACTGACATCACTTTTGGGGAAAGACAGTGGACAGGTTTCCCATTGCCTTTTCCACAAATGTATTTGCTTTAATATCTGTGAACTGCCATGACTTCTTGAGAAAGTAGTAGATTGGTTTCTTATTCACTTCTCTACGTTTTACATTATTTTAATATCAGTGAACTGCCATTAGTTTGGGGGAAAGTTAATGGTCTGGTTTTCCATTACCTTTTCCATAAATTCCTTTATTTTAATGTCTGTGAACTGTCCTGATTTCTTAGGAAAATAGTGGACTAGTTGCCTATTAGCTTTTCCACAAATTCCATTATTTTAATATCAATGTATTGCCATTAGTTTGGGGGAAAGGTAGTGGACTGGTTTTCTATCACATTTCCCACAAATTTCGTTATTTTAATAATTGTGAACTGCCATTACTATTTGGAAAAGACAGTGGACTGGTTTCCCATTGCATTTTCCATAATTATCTTTTTTTTTCTTTAATATCTGTGAACTACCATCTTGGAAACAATTATGGAATGGTTTCTCTATGTTTTTTAATTCAGAGTAATTTTACTGCTAGAGTCATTACCACCAAGAATCCCGTCTGTCTTGCTAACCGGCATTAAAAGCATTAGTTCCATTTCATCTTCAAGCTTGAAGATGAAATGGAACTAATGCTTTTAATTTAATTGCAAAATTAAATTCGGGGTTTTTACCTTCTATTTTTGAAACATGGTTGGAACTGTGTAGCGAAAAAACATATTTTAAATCAATTAATTTATAATATTAATGCTCTGTAAATTTACATTGAGCACTATTTTGTAAAAATAAAATATCTATAAGAACACCGGATTTTATATCTTACTGTTCTTTCTTTTTTTTTTTTTTATTTTTTATATATATATATATATATATATATATATATATATATATATATATATATGTGTGTGTGTGTGTGTGTGTTGTGTGTGCATGGCCGAGTGCAGTACTGTATATATATATATATAGTCAAACAGGTTTGGTCCAATAATTTAGACATATGGTGTCGATAAGTTTTTACTGTGATCTTTTGAAGTTCGCGGATTAATATTAGATTAGGGTAAATTTAGAAAATTGAGTAAGAAAAATACCAAAATTTTCTTTCGAATCCAAACCTGTTTGAATGAAAATATGCTGCCTAAATATGCACAATATATATATATATATATATATATATATATATATATATATAAATGTGTGTGTATCGCTATATTTCTATTTGTATATGTGTATGTGCATGTCTGTGTCTGCATATATATATATATATATATGTGTGTGTGTGTGTGTGTGTCTATCTATCTATCTATCTATCTATGCCTGTGTGTCTGTCTATGTATACATAAGCATGTGTCTGTCTTTGTGTGTATATCAACATCATGAGATGTTTTTGTGTGTGTGTGTGTGCATCGCTATATATTTCTATTTGTATATGTGTATAAATGTGTATTTGTGCATGTGTGTATTTGCATATATATATATATATATGTATATGTGTGTATGCATGTGTGTCTGTATCTATCTATCTATCTATCTATCTATCTATCTATCTATCTATCTATGTATGTATTTATCTATCTATCAATCTATCTATAGATATGCCTGTACTTGTGTGTCTGTCGATGTATACATAAGCATATGTCTGTCTTTATTTGTGTGTGCATCAACATAGTGAGATGTCTTTGTGTGTGTGTGTGTGTGTGCGCGCGCGCGCGTGTGTGCGAGTAAGTGTTTTGCGTTTCAGTTAAACGTGTTAATGTTTCTTGGAAGTAACTCTATCGGGTCAGACAGGAAACTCCAATGATTCTTTCATTTTAGTTTTATTCGCCAAGTTTTTATTCCCCTCGACGATGTTGAATTGCATGGAAGGACAGAGAAGAAAAAAAAAACTTTTAACAACCGTGAAAAATGTCCTTTTCTTTATTTTTTTCTTCGTTTTTACCGACTTATCTGTGATCTTCCAGTAGTGACTCGAAGCCTTTATCGTTAATTATCTGATCATTTCGATGCTAATTGCTGTAAGTTTTGCAGGTGCCTTTCTCTTACTTACATGCTATATCACAGACTGAAAAAAAAGTCACTTTTTCTGACCCTCACCACCCAACATATCAGAAAAAAAAAGTTCTGATGTCAATCAACATGTTGGTTAACGAAAGAGTGCTCGTTTTATGAATAGGAATCGAGACACGCAACAACACACCAAAGAATCTTCTGAAGCAATGGTTCTTAACCATTTTAAGCAATGGCACATCTAGGAGCAAAATGAAAATCACGGTATACTTAACAAAATTTTTAAAGGGTATACATTCAAATATTATGAAATTAAATCATAGATTTTTTTAAAAAAATCACATTTTAAAAAAAATACACATATAAAAAGGCTTCATTTCAATTCAACTCTTTTTGAAGCTTATTTAGTAAAATACTAACGTTGTGCCATTACTACTACCACAAGCACATATACAGCGTGCTATGTGCAAATTGCCGCTATAGTATATTTTTAATTTCGCGCATGCGCGTTGTTTGTTTTTGATTGTCTCGACTGCACTGTATAGTTGGGTCAGTTGGACACCATCTGTAAAAGAAAGGGCACCATGACGCAATTCACTCCATCAGAAATTTGAAAATGGCATTCGTGCCGGCAGCTCCAATAGGAACATTTCATAGTGTTTGGATGTCAATCTGAGAGCAGTGCAGAGGATTCGATATATCCAGTCAATATCATTGTGTTTGGAGTGATCACTAGTGATGGCAACGTTATGTCTTCATTCTCCTTCCCACAGGGCCTCAGACTCAACACGGAGGCCTAAATCAAGTTCCTTGAGGAGATAGTGCTTGTCTGGGTTAAGATAATGGCTGCTGGAAGACCCTATATCTGAAATCAAAACTCTGTACCATGCAACATAATCAGTATACCCCATCATGGCTGTCAGACAATTTCTGCGACAACATCACCTCTTACATCTTGCCACCTAACATCCCAGACTGCAATCCCCTTGATTATTATGGGTGGGTCGCAGTTGAACGATAGACCAACAAAAATCCTTGCAACACCAAAGATGAACTGAAGGCAAGGATTATGACAACATTCACTAAATTAAACAAGGAGACCGTCCAGAAGCGATCCAGGAGATTCCGAAGTCGTCTGGAGGCTGTGGTTGAAGCCAATGGCGGTTTTATTGAATCCATTCACTCTTTACGATGTCAAGGTATTTCTGTGTAATTTTGGCAAATATGTGTGTTAAAGTGAGATGTCAGTGTTTTTTTTTTTACTTAATTTAGACGACTATTTATCCATCGCATCCTGTATACGTATGCCATGAAATTATTATGGCGGCACGGCGGTTGAGAAACACTGTTGTAATGAAAGGCTGTAAGTATCTTTGACCTTTATTCTAACTGAAAGAGGTTGTTTATAGAGAAGTGTGTCTGCTTCTGTACTATGACCTTGGCTGTGAATCCGGAGCCTTACAAAAAAGCAGTTGCTTAGATCTTCTATTAAATAACATTAAAACTTTGACCAGACTGTGACCATATATTGTTGATATAGCATTTGAGTTTACGCCGCTTCTCTCAATACTGTTGACGATTATATTTTCATTTGAAGTTGCCTCGTCAAATGTTGAAAGCACTCTCTACGTATTTATAAAGTAATGTCTATGGCTTCGACGAAAATTTGAGAAAAATCCATATGGCGCTCGGCTTCTCTTAACTAAGCATCTAATTATTAGAAAATAACGTATATTATAGATACAATTTTTAAAAATCCGTAAAAGAATATTATGCACAAAAGAAAGTAGCCGTCGCCACTATCTAACTAGCTAGCAAGCTATAGATTTTTGTCTGTCTATCTATCTATCTATCTATCTATCTATCTATCTATCTATCTATCTTTGTCTGGTATCTATCTATCTATCTATCTATCTATCTATCTATCTATCTATCTATCTATCTATTTTTGTCTGGTATCTATCTATCTATCTATCTATCTATCTATTCTTGTATGGCATCTATCTATCTATCTATCTATCTATCTATCTATCTATCTCCGTATCCGCCTATACCCACCCATGCTTGTATCCCTTCTGTCAGTTTACGACGATGTATGTTTGTTAACCACTCAGTCTGTCTGTCTCTTTTTCTCTGTATCTATTCTTGTGTGTGTGTGTGTGTGTGAGTGTGTGTGTGTGGATGTGTGTGTGTGTATACGTGTATGCAATGTACGTGTTACCGTGCGCCAAGGTCGGAGTGCTGAGTATGGCTAACTGGCAACTAGCAGTTGTCCCTTCTGTTCCCAAAACCAACTGACACACGCATTCTTATTTAATTATTTCAGAAATTCCCAATACTTTCAAAACTAATTTGTTTTACAAACACGCTTATATGCATGTGCCCACAAAATGCACATATTTATTCACTGAGCAATAAAAAAAAAACCATTCAGTTTTATATTCGCTGGCTTAAATCATCCAATGCACGAGCGCAAATTTTCAGACATCTTGGAAATAACAAAAACAACATCTGTTTTAGTCATTTCTCACGCCGTTATCATAATCATTATTTTTGCCTTTGACGGTCTGTTCCCCTATTATTATTATTGTTATTATCATTATTATTATTATCATTATTATTATTATTATTATTATTATTGAGTGAGAAATCAGCGTTCCAACGAAGTGGCGCTGGGGTAAAAATGTAAGAAAACCGATATAACCAATCATGATCCAGTCTGATAACTGTATACGAGACACATGCAACACAGTCAAAAATATCCAATATCTCACAGACGCGCGGTCGCCTCTCTCTGTCTTTTTTACAAATACTTTCATGGTAATTGCTCCGATGAGCTGCTTTCACTGGTTCAAAGACTTCATGAATTCAAGCGCCCTACGAGGCTGGCATCCTGCTCTCACCCTTTCACTGTATAAACTTTAAATGTAGCCGCCTCTTCTACTCCAATAGCTTCATAGCTCGCACCTCTCGTCTGTGGAACACCCTTCCCTATTACTGTTTCCCTGAGAGCTATAATCTCCAACTATTCAAATGTAATGTCAATCGACATCTCCAGTTGCCTTGATCTATCCACTATCCTTCTCCTCATCCTTTCCTCTATCACTCCTATCTGATCTTGCTCCAAATCCTCTGTAACCCCTTTGCGTCCTAGTGGCTTCCCGCCTTGCTCGGTGCGTTATGCTTAGAAAAAAATATGGCGATAGTATAACTTTGCAGGTGATGCCTAGTTAGAGATACGGGGAAACGATTGAAGGTGTTTCCAAGTTTCAAGATATGTCTCCCAAGTCGACTTGACTGACTCATCCTTCAACATTTATAAAAATATCCGGCCATGACGCTATCCGACTACTCCCGTTTCTAGATATGTCTCCCAAATCGGCTTTACTGTTTCATCCTTTCTACATTAAAAAAAAAAAAACTCTCCCGATATCCGGCCATGACACTCCTCGACTACTCCCGTTTCTAGATATGTCTCCCAACATTTAAAAAAAAAAAAAAACTCTCCCGATATGGGCATAGATGAACATTAATTAAGGATAGGCAATTAAAGGCATTATTATTATTATTATTCATGTTGTTGTTTGTTTGTTTTCATTAATAGTTTGTTTCTTGCTGCTTTCTTTAGCGGCACATCAACACCTTAAGGGTCATTTAATGCCGAAATTTAATTAGTAATTTCTTTTAAAAAAGGTATTGCTGGCAATATTTATTTATTTTAACAAAAATGTATCGCTGATCATTTTTTTACGATGAAAATATACTGCTAGTATTTTTACTCTAAAAATATATTTTTATAATTTCTTAGAGTTTTGACGTCAGTTTGAGGGTTTGCTATTTGCCTATAGTTGGGCCCCTAACAGGCGCTACCACCCCAGTTTAGGATGGACCTGGGAACAACAGCAATTACGAGGTGGTTCCACGCTCCTCAAAACCTCTCGAACAGAGGCCTCGTTGCCGGATGTAGTTTATCGTCATACCTAGGACGAAGGTCGGTTAATAGAAAGGTGCCCGCTACAGAGGGATAGCAGGATAGTTTTATTAGATCAGTTGCTTATGTGGGGTATATTAGATATTTTTGCGAGTCTCATCCTAATTTCATTTGCTTTGTTTCACAATCTCATTTTACTGTCACTGGTAGTTGACTTGAATTAGAAATAAAATTGAGACTGAAATCTGTATGTCTCTTTTCTATGTTGGCGTTATGCGCGCACACACACATACATATATATATATATATATATATATATATATATATATATATAATATATATATATCAAATAAAATTCATGTATAATTATATTGGACATGCCACTACATGCCTATCACGATGTCTCACATTACACCATACAAAAATGTATTGCCAGTGAGCAAACATGGCCGATCCCATTTTGAATAAGTAGATCACGTGATGATCATAAAGAAAACCCATATATAGGAAATCTATTCCAAGGTTGCCTTCTCTCGTCACATTTTGCTTCTTATTCTCCTTCTTATCATCAACCCTACTGACTCTCCTTCTTCGTTGCTTCCTTCGCTATTTTCTCCTCCTCCTGCTCCCCTTTCTCTCCCTCCTCCTTCTCCCCATTCTCTTCCTCCCCCTGCTACTCCCCTCCTCCTCCTCCTGCTGCTCCTCCCACTACTACTACTCCTGCTAAACCTTTCCAAGGCGAACTCAGTCTGTTTTAAGACCTCGCCGTCTTGCTCGCCAACCCAAAATGTTTTACTCAGGCAGAAGAATTTTGGTCCACTTAGCAAGGGAAACATTGTTGTGTACGGACGGATTATTTTTCCTGTCGACATTTTACCCAAACCGTCTGTTATGCTTTCGAAATCATAATGCCAGAAACGACCAAAGACTATTTTCTTTGCTTTGGACAATTTGCGACCGCAGTGCACTGAGTTGATATTTCAAGAAAAATGGTTTTCCTTGCGTTTCTCTATAGGTATTTTCATCCTCGGCTTTTTCGCAATTTACCGATGCCGTTAAATCCGTGTTTTCAGTGCGTAGACTTTCGTAGATTAAGGCAAAGTCACTTCTCTTCCTTTCGTCACCAAATGAGGACACATTAAACAGTGGATAAAGGCCTTTATCGACTGTGCCATGTGTCATTGAGGACACATTAAACAGTGGATAAAGGCAATGGTTAGATCCAGTGACAGGACTCAAAGAGCGTGAGTTCAATACCCGGTTAAGGCAGTGGAGAACTTTCAGAGGGAAATTAACAGGAGATAACTGATAACTAACATCCATCAAACATGGCTCGTGGAACTAGAACAGTCTACTCCAGTGAGCGAAATAAGGGTTCAGTTCGACATTCCAACCACCTGAAGAAGGCCGGAGCGTACAACGGCCGAAACGTTGTAATAAATATGGCGACAAAGATGGGGACAATAGTCCGAATAATGTAAATAGTGTACATAATACCTTATCTCAGAAATATAGACAGATACCCTTCTGCTTGTTTAGAGTAATTAAAGGCACTGATGCGCAAATTTCTATATTAAACAACACTTCAAAAAATTGGTAACTATGAAAAATTTATCAGAGGTGCGCATTATCCAGGGACGCAAATGTCCAGAGACGCAATTGTCCGGGACGCAATTGCCCGGGACCCAAATGTCCAGTACACAATTGTCCGTCCACCATAAGATGATCCGTTGTTCCCTGTTTAGGATTGGGTTTTTGATTCCTTCTAAAGCCTTTTCAGTTTGTCATGTCTCTTCAGGACGTTGGTGATCATTACTCTCCACAATTCAAAAAAGTCCTTTGTAGCTCTTAATAAATCTATGTTGGATATCTCTCCTAAACTCTGTTCTGTCATCTATTTACTCAAGCTCAATATGTAGGTTATGCGTTGTTTTCCTCCATCTCACTTGCCATCTACTTGTCCTGTGAGTATCAAACTTTCCAAACCCTCTTTTTTCATTATGTGCCCTGGGTATTTCTTCCATCTGTTTCGGATATTAAGCATAAGTATCCTTTTTGTTTACATTTTCTCTAAAACTTCACATGTTTGGTTCATAGTATTCTCAGCATCCTTCTGTGGAACCATATTTCTGTTGCTTTAAGTCTCTTCTTTGAGAAGATCGTCCAGTACTCACTACCATACAGGATGACATATATCCTTGTTTCTAGCGAAATTTTCCTATTTTTTAGTCCTTTACATAGCTTTTGGAATGCATCATTGGCAATTTCAAAACGCCTTCGGATTTCAGTGTTGTTCTTTCTGTCCTCTGTTAAAACACTTCATAGATATTTCAATTTCTGCATTTGTCTGATTTTGGTAGATCTGGTTTAAGAAGCAAAAATCCAAAGACGTCTCAAGGATGATTTTCTAAAATAAACGTTAAGCTCAGCTATTTTATTAAATGTTAAATTATAATGAACAGGAGAAAAATCTTTTTTTTTTTAAGAAATTTAATTATTATTTTTTTTATTACAAATTTTAATAAATTGCTTTATTTAAATCACCTGAGCCGACCAAGCATAGAAATAAATACAATATGGGAACCAGTAATAAGGAGTGCCAGAGAAAAGCAATGATAACAAAGTTGCAATATGAACTCTGGTAAAGACATGCAATGATAACAAAATTGCAATATGAGCACTGGTAAAAATGATGCTGAAAACATTAGGTTTATAATACTCAGAAGTTCATACCCAGATGTCCTCAAGGCCTTTATCGACTGCCATGTATCCTTGAGGACACATTAAACAGTGGATAAAGGCGTTGGTTAGATCCAGTGACAGACCCAAAGAAGGTGAGTTCAATACCTGGTTAAGGCAGTGGAGAACTTTCAGAGGGAAAATTAGCAGGAGATAACTGATAACTGACATCCATCAAACATGGCACATGGAACTAGAACAGTCTACCCCAGTGATCGAAATAAAGGGTTCAGTTCGAAATTCCAACCACCTGAAGAAGGCCAGAGCGTACAACGGCCGAAACGTTGTGACAAATATGGCAACAAAGATGAAGACAATAGTCCGACTAATGTAAATACTGTACTTGCTTTGCTTATATCAATAAGTAAATCATAAAAAAGTCTATACGTTTTTGATGATTTATAATTTCGGTACGCTGCGGAAGTTCATCTACAAGTTCAAGTATGCATGAGATAAGAAAAAAAAAAAGATTGAAAAATTGATCTATGGTCGTAGTTCCTAACCGTTGGCAACATGGCCACGTTTGACCTGATAAATTTCATTAGGTCCACAGAAAAATTTGGGGATTTCGAAGGTTCGAGTCAAACGTTCAATGAAAGGGGCCACAGTGCTACAATCTTATTTGCCCTCTATATTTTAGTTCTAATAAATTAATATTATGTAATTGAAATATATTTTTGAGCTTTTTTACAAAATTATTTCTATTTATTGATTGAATGATACACGTATAGTTACCAACTCGCTATAGTCTCTTATATTAAATTCCCTTTTTCTGTGTTTCAATCTGAATTTTTCCTCGTTTTTTTTTTTAATTTCCATTATTAATTATACTTATTAATTATATAGTTGTTAATAGGAAATATAGTAAAATAAAATGATTTTCCCACGTCGGAATCGTCCAATACTAGTGAACAGATTCACTCTCATCCGATAGTCAGATTAAAAACAAACACTTAAACTTTTTTTCGGAAATAAAAGATTATTTCATTTAACTGTTTTTTTTTTTTTTTGTTTTTTTTAAAGCCCATATGGAGAAATATCACTGTTGATTTGTTCCAGAAATTGTGAAATGAGCTTTTGTTAAAGTAAACGGCCAGGAGTTGGGGCATTTAAATCATCAATCAAAAGAGAGTCATGAGTAGAAAATGGCTGAGAACCTCTAGTCTACTGGGACACAAATTCGCGCTTGTACTCAACTGGAACACATATACGTAATACATTGCTAAGCAGGCCGGAAAAAAAAATGTCGTTTTCTTGTACTGCTCCAGAAAGTAATCCGACTCATTTTAATATGCTCTATCTTTACAAGTGTCAGATCTGGAGCTTTCAAATCATACTTTCCAGTCTAGACAGGGTTTTTATGCGGCCTTGTGGGCCATGAATTATCTTCCATCCTACAACCCCCTCTCCACAGATGAGACTTTTCAAGCCTCTCGTTACTTTATTGCTATTTCCTTGCTAAATCATCTGGCGAGCTACATTCCTGAGTTCCACCAGTTCAGATCTTTACGGCTACCACCCTCCATAGATTGTATCATTCACATTCACTTCGTATTCCAGTGGCAAGAAGTAAGTGCCCTCATTAAAATCTTAACCTGTTTAAGTCTAGTTTCAACCGTTATCCATCGTACATATCCTCATAATCTACACTTTTTAACTCCTTAAGTCTGTCCAACAACCTCATTCCATAACCCTCTACCATGAGTGGCTTATGAGCCTTTTTGGGGGATAACAATAGTAAAACAGACCTCAAACATCCTTGGAATTGCTTGCTTTTGCCTGTGTTTTCTTATACTTTTAAATTCGTCATGTCGGTGCGAAGTGAGATTTTTTTCTTCTTTCTATTTTCTTTTATCATTGTGGTACATGTCTTGTAAATTCATCTGTATTTGTTAACACCATGTCCCTTCAGGATGTAAGCGATCATGGCTCTCCATCGAGTTGATTATCTCTGAACTGCATCACTTCTTGGCAAATATAGTTGAGCGATTTCCCGTTGTCGCCTCTACGGTTTTTGATTTAGAACAGGCCTTCACTTAGGCTGACTACCACACAAACCCAGTCTACTTAATAAAGTCTATTTAATCCAGAGCTTAGGGAAGAAAGAAGTGGTTTTATACCTTACCCAAGAATATGTGTGCGAAAGTAAATGCAACATAAATGGCAATGATTTCAATTTGGATCGCTGTTTTTACTTTACCAATGCGAAGAATTGAAAGTTTTCTTCATTTTTCTTTTAAGTTAGGGCTAGACATGCAACTGTTATATACTGTATCTATGGACACTAATGCGTATGCCCAATCCTCATAAATGCGTTGCACACTATTGTAAGTGGGTGTAACAGGCTGCCTAAGTAGATCACCACTAGCAGTGGTTTACCTACTTTCACGCCGCTGGCGAGTGTTGTATGTTGTTGATGTTATAAAGATTACCATTTCTTTTCCAATCTCCGTTTTGGTTATTCCTCATTCAGTAACACTTCCTAGGTTGCAACATTTTTTTTTATCCAACTAGAGTATTGTCTGTAATGATGACAGTTAGGGCCAAGGTTGAGCTATCCCTTTTGGTTCGTAGATGTTAATGAATTTGTCTTTATTATTTACGAGAATAAATCATTTATATAGTGTATTAAGTTTTTTTTAATGAGCATTTCGTGTTGAACTTCAGTTTTATTAGCGATACAGTCTATGTAGGATTTCTTTAAACTGTTCAGGAGTGATTGAGAGTTTTAGTCTGTTGTGGATATCGAAAAGATAATAATCATGCAAATTAAAGTTACCTCCCTTAGATAAAAAAAAACCTACAAAATAAGAGGAAAAGAAGGAATAAAGAGAGAATCAGACATTAACCCGAAAAGGAAAAGATATTGACTCTGTGCAGAGTAAATCTAAAAAGTGGGGTGTTATATACCGTACCTATGAACACTAATGGGTATGTTCCAATCCTCATAAATACGTTGGACACTATTATATGTGGGTGTAGTCTGCTGTCTACGTAGTCCAGCACTAGCAGTGGTTTACCTACTTTACGCCGCTGGTGAGTATTGCATTTTGTTGATGTTATAAAGATTAACATTTCATTTCCAACCTCCATTTGGTTATTCCTCATCCGGTAACACTTTCTGGGTTACAAAAGCAACTTAATGCAGCATCGCGACAGAAAAGAAAATA